TACTACTACTACTACTACTACTACTACTACTACTACTACTACTACTATTCCTGCTCCTGCTTTGGGGGGGTGGCTTTGCCACAAAACTCTACCCCGCAAAAGGCGAAAGTTTGGCGAAAGTTCAGCTCAAGATTGGCGAAAGTTCACCCTGCCACATCTGACCCCCAGCCCATTATGAGTAAGTTTGAGTGACCGGCTACTACAGTGATTCTTGCAATTTTGATTCTTGCTGACACCCAGGAGAAACAAAAGAGACGTACTGGGTGTCAACAGTTAAGTAGAAGACACATGCTGACAAACAGTGAAGTTTCTATTTTGTGTTTGCCAGTAAAGAAGAAGCCATTGACGTGAACAAAACACAACATACATGGTTCACATAAATACAACGTACTTCGGCGAAAGATAAAACGCAGGAAGGCGAAAGTTTGGCGAAAGTAATTTTTTTTTGGCGAAAATGACGGATCCCGGATAAAGGAATTTAGATCAACTCCCATATATTGTTATAATGATCGAAGAGAACGGAAAACAGGTTGCTTCATTTCATCCCACATGGAATGCCACTATTCCATGCCTGACACATCCTGACACCATGAGACCCGTCTGACACAGATCCCCAAGGAATTACAGCTGGATTGACTTCGCACCGATCGACGCTCACCTCACCAGCGCAGAATCGTTGGAGCTGATGGTTTGATCCGCAGACGCCGGAAGACGAAGAAAAAAAAAAAGAAATGCTGTGTATTCCACCAGATTCTGGATATTGAGGGATCGATGCGTTCAATGGGCAAGCTTGGCCATTCCTGCAATTCAATCGGCATTTTTCTGATCTTGTCCGATACGTGAGCGTCCTTCAAATCTACAGTCTCATAGATCGTTCAGAGTTCCACGAAACCGAAGCGACCATGGGGCCTTTCACTGGAAGGTGAGCTTCAACGCACATGCGCGCGCGCGCTCGCGCGCATTTGTGCATGTGCATGATGCGATGTGGCAGGCTGTGGTGCTCCGTGGAGCAACCCTTATGTCTCGCACTCAGCGCGGAGTTGCGAAGGCAAAGCATCAAGCCTTTGGGGAAGCCTTTCGATAATGGATATTCCTGGACCCCAAAGTACTTTATAAGTTATAATGTACTTTGACTCCAGTTAGAAGCAGCTATAGGAAGCTCAATCATCCAATTCAATTATGATACGTCAATGGCCTGCTTGCGGATAGTATGAGGTTATTCATGGTTTCTGTAAATTTCTTTTGGAATCACCACCTTCTGCGGCTGGGCAGCGATTTGGGCAACCCAAGATGCTGGCACATCAGCCCAAACGACTTTGCCTCTAGTCATCAGCAAGTCTTCTCTTCGACCCTTATTTTGTCACATTTTGTCATATAACAAGATATATAGGTTTAATTTACTACATATTACAACTTACCCAACAGCAGCCTGGACTCAGGGACTTTGAGTGGATAAGTGGGTTCTGCAGTTAACATCTTGGGGAAAGCAGTGGATCCATTTTTCAGTCCCATAGATATCGACATATTTGCAGAGCCCGCCAAAAACAACTGGCAACCAGATGGAGTCAAACCAACTCAAAAGATTGTCCCTTCGCCCCCTCCATTCGCAAGGGATACTTCCCCTAATTTCCCATATACAAAAAGAATCCAAATACATAGAGACGTCCATTACGCAACATGTGCGTAGTTTGCCACATCATGCTCATGATGCCACGTCGCTATGAGGTCAAGGAGCAGATTGGGGCTTTTGTGACAGTGATGAGGATCCCATTCTGGCGGGCAGCTTCCCCGTGTGTGCCATGGTTTCAAGCAGCACAGGACCAATGTGGGTGATGTGGATTAACCAAAGAAACCCAGAGAACCTCAGGTGAGAGACTTTAGTAAGGCTTCAGATGGCTCAAATATAGTGTTGTATGTTCAGATATATGTTTCCCCGATAAGTGTGACTTGGGGTGTTGAAATCTGAAATTATGGTCGTAGATGGAGAACATCCACAAGTCTATGGTTCCTCTTTTGTTTAATCAACCAGACTCAGAGCTTTTGAATGTGCTCTAGACTGCAGTTCACATTCTTGATCCACAGGGACCCACAGTTCATCCAACCTCCTGAGTTCCGACTCTGGTCGCGTTCCCGGGGACGAAGGGATGCCAAAAGTGATCCTTCTTCACTTGGGCATGCACGATCTCCCCACACCAACTTCGATGTCGGTCCATCCGTGTTGTTGCATGTTTTGGCAGGGGGATATGCTTCAGGCGAACGACGTTCGAGGACTGTGAGCGAAGCAGCCAAAGACACCTGGACTGGAACTGCTTTGAACCCGCCGGTCACGTGGCGCTTTCCACCGTCACACGGTGCCATATGTCGCGCAAATACCACCGTGGCTCAGGTGTGCGCGTGATTCCCTCGAATGCCACCAGCTTCTACGAATATGAACCTTGTCGTGCTCCCAGAAAAAAGAGGACGCGACCTTTGGTTTGGAAAAGACCATGTCTTAGCTGGTACAAAATAAAGGTCAGTTCTAGGACTCCAAGGCGGTGTTTTGGGGTGGCTCCTTTATTGTGTTCTCGCAAGTGGGGCATCCGGTTGCATGCAGGGTTGTCAATTTTCAGTTTTATATATGTTGTTTTAAGGGTCAATGTAGGTCAATATTCCATAGATGGATGGTTGGCTTTGTCAGCACGGCTCTGAATGGAACAAACAAAACCATCATTATGTTTAAGTGTTGTCAATATATTGCTGTCTAATACGAGGATTCGGCGTTCTTGGGGACCCCACCTCGTCTTGCCGTCGAGGCCAGCATCGCTTCACCTACGTCAGGCTGGCAGTTTGGCACCATTCCCGGTTGAACGAGCCACCATCATGGACCATCATGGACCTCAGATCTTGTTGTTCGACTGCCTCAGTGCAGCTGGTTCTGTGAAGAAAACGTAAACAAAACATGTCCCTATCCAATTCTAAATTATGAAACTGAGTCCCAAAATCGATCGGACTTGGATTTCTTTTTTGTGCCATGATGTGCACATCATGGCCTTGGAACACATCTCTGTGCCCCAAGAACGACGTGGCACCAGGCAGCCTCATGTGGACAGCATCTCTCCGCGCACTGGACCCTCCACTGGTGGCACCAATGTGTGAAGCCCGGTGAAAGCCAAAGGTCTTGAGATGAGTTGAATGGAAGGCCTTCCAGAAGTAAACGGGTGTACCATGTTCTTCATTTGATGGACTACCCTGCATGGGCTACAACTCTATATACATGGACAACATCATAATGTGGATAGATGAGATGTCTCTTCCATGTCACGTCTCTTCTTGTGTCTCCCTGTTTGGGTCTTCAAGTTTACCCAAAGGAAATTCTTGTACTCTGTCTTCGGATCGAACATGATCAAAATAAGTCTTCAGGGTCATCCCATTCCATCCCACGTATACGTATGATTCTCCCTTTCATGGTCTGTGTAGATCTGATCCCATGACGACTCCACCGACGCCGTCCTCGGTCGTGAGTGAATGAGGTCACCCTCTATGGACGCTACTTTCCACAGGCGCGTTTGGGTGGCTTGCTTTGCCGTTTCGGCCCGGCAGCCAAGGTGGGATAGAGGCGGAGGGAGGGGGCCCGGGCTGGCAGGTGGCAGGTTCCTTGTTGTGGCCCCTGAAAGGGATACTGTTTGGAACCGAGAAGTTCTCACACTTGACTTGTACAGAGGGTGCCGATACTACAGCCCGCCCTTCAGTTTTACCCTGAAAAGAACTGTTGACCACGTTTGACGTTGATATTGATAGTCTAAAATCCTTTAGTAAAACCCTTCTTGTTGTTTGGTAAAGAGCATTTAAGACATGGTGGGTGGAATCCCAGGGTACAGATATCTTTGGATCCACCGATCGACGAAAGACATCGAAAGCGGATACCATCGGTTTCCGCAAATCCAAGTGGTGGTCCCTCCGGATATTATTTGGAGCTTGCCCGACCGCAGATGAGAGCAGCAGAACCTTAAGAGACGTTTTTTGTTAAACTCTGAAGAGTAATTATAAATTGTATTGTACAATAAAGGATGAACTCGTAGCGAAGACTGAACTTTAATTTGAATGTCGTCAAACAAATTCTCACACTAAAGGATAGTAATGAGCCTGTTTGGTGATGCCTGGGCATCACCTCGAAGACTTCTGAATTCCATGTTTCTGCACTAACTCAGTTCTTGCAAGCTCGCAGGGGACCAAAATACACACCTCGCAGCGTTCTGATGTGAACGAGCGTAGCGGCGTAGCGCACGTTTCTCAGGTGAAGGTCGTTCAAGCTCTGTGACTCCTGGGAGATGGCTCAGCCGAGATGAGATCACTTGCGCTTCTTGGCTCCGTCGGAAGCATGGCTTCTCCCAGATGAGACTCCTCGACCGCGGTCGAAGCTGTGAAGCTTCTACACGTCTTGATCTTCTGTTTGTGAGACTTTGTGAGATTGTGCTGTTTGTGTTGTTTTTGTTCAGAGGATTTCAGAGGTGTCATGGTTTGCATTCCAGTCTGGCAGCGAAGACGACGATCTCCACAGCTGAACGGTCCGAGCTCGCCGTTTTTCGAGCTCGCGGTTCGCTCGGTCGGTACCGGCGAGTCGGCGATGTTCAACTCGAGCTGAGTGCCGAGTACAAAAATAGGAGACCATGAAGAGCTGGAAGAGTGTTCATGTCATGAGTCATGTACGTACTACCACGGAGGAAAGGGTGTCCATTCATCACCGCGAAAAGAGGTCGACCCAGATTTCCCAGGGTGACTGTCCATGGTCCCCACCCCAGTCCTGGAGGTCCAGGGTCCAAGGTCATGTTCCATGGGTCCTACCCCATGTGCTTTCCAGGTCTGGGTCTGGAGTCATTCCCCTCGTCTCCCAGGTGTCTCCACAGATCCTCGGTCACGTGGACTCCATCAGTACGTGCCGTCGTGCCGCGCGCAGCTCCGCCGACCTGCCCACGCGGTGCCTCGTGGGGGCGTTGAAGCTCCGTCTTAATTGTGTTTCACCGTTGGGCAGAAAGAGAGAGAGAGAGAGAAATGTGAGATGTGCATGATCTCCTTTTTGTTGACCAGTGTCCTTTGGACTGAGGATCCAGCTTGTTTGGGGGAGTATGTTTACCAAGCTCTGCTAGATGGCAGCTTTTGAGCTACCGTCACATGACAAGAGTGAGAGTCTCAACATGAGGAGATTTGCAACTAATTAAACCTTCGGACATCATCGAACCCCCAAGCGCTGCGAAAATGAATTGGCAGTGTGTTTCCCAAATTAAAGTATATACATGCATGCATATAACAGGCTAGATTCCCTCACCCTGTTTCTAAGAAGCCAGATGCATTCCTTGTGCTGCAACTCAGTGGTGAACGTGTATGATCAGCTGCCATCTAAATGCTTTGAGTTGATCCCTCTCAAATATAAATCACATTAATCACCCTATATCACCCTCATTCTCCTGAGAACATGTAAAACATTGTTTGACACAGCTTTGATTTCATGAAGATGGATAAAGTCTAATCGTATCCCATCGGGGCGGAAGACAGAGTCAGCAAACCTGAATGACAGAGTCAGGAAACTTCAACCTGGATGATATCCATGCCCTATCTTGATTCTCCCACAGGACAGTGCCGGTGACTATCTCCATCAACGGCGGAGCTGATTGGACGACGGGGGTCTCAGAACGAATCTCTTGTATGTTCTTTGTTTCATGGAGAGGCCTCAGATCAGGCTCACACGACATCCACCAACAAGAGGTGTGAGCGTGGCAAACTTATCCCCCAAAACGGCCGAGGTGGTTCTGTGACATCGTAAAACATCTAAGTCTCTCAGTCTCTCATGTCAGTTTTGGACTCAGTCATGATCCAAAACGGGAGCTGCGAGCTGATTTGGGGGGGGGCACCTCCACAGCACCACTCTGGTGCTTGTGTCCAGCTAGCTAGGTCACTCGGGAAACGAGTCCGGTCGCAGGTGGTTGATCCGTTTTGGAGTCGACTCACACGACATGTCGACTCAGTCGACCCGGTTGTCGGACCTCGGTCTTCGGTTTCGGAACGTTCGGGATTGGGTCATGTGATGGTCTAAGGTGCCATGAAGTGCAGGTACTTTCTGCAGGTATGCATTGAAGTGGAAAAAGTGCAGTAAAGGGGGCATCCTAACGGGGCAATGCCACCTACTTCCACCCTGATTTTACCAGCGAGTGTAGATTGTTCACTGAATCCTCCGAAATGTCAGAAATCCCTGTAGATATTGCATGTTGTTGGAGAATCTTCTCTCATGGACCTGTGACTGACCTGGCCAGTAAGACGTGTTGTTTTTGAGGGAAAAACATTTACCACAAAACTAAGGTACGATATTATACAGTAATTATGGATGTCTCGTAGGCATACTTTGCGAGGTAGGGTGCCCGGCGGACAAGTGGACATGAGACTGTGCAGCGTAGTGTGAAAGATTTTGATAAACAAAACAGTGCGGTGGTTCTTGTGTTTTGCATGTTCAAAGCCAGGCTTTTGACACGGCTCAAGTGGTTATTTGTTGAACCAGCCATGAACACAAGCTGGTGGTTTGGTGGAGTGCTAGTCATGAGACTGAAATTGGTTCCTTTCTGATTGCAAATGACACACAGTTTCTCAATTGGACCGACCAGGCCCAGCACGGCATACTTCAACTTCGTCAAGGAGTTGCGAGGCCCGTAGTTGCGAGGACTGCAAATTGGAGTAGTGCTGTTTACACAGTTGCGTTTGGCTTTATAGTCCCTAGGGCTCCAACCATCTCCTCAGAAGGTGGTTAGACCCTCCAAATCCACCCCAACCATCTTCTCAGGAGGTGGTTGGAGCCCTAGGGAGTACAATCAAACAACATCATGTTGTTTGAACATGTTGGAATTGGATCGCTGCCACTGATCGAGATGGTTGCTTGGCCCTTGGCTCGAGGAAAACACCCGTAGCGAGACACAGCGATCGAGTCGCTGCCGGTCGCTGGTCGGGCCCATTCAACGGACCGATGGATGCGTTCCTCTTCCCGGATCCGTGTGAGAAACCGAACCTCAGGTACGGTGATGTGTTCGACACTATGTAGGGGATCGATAGCGGAGACATGTGCCATGAATGGCCATGAATTTATATAAAATTATCAAATCCAATAAACTCCAGGCTCCATGTATCCTTTAATCATAAACTCCATGTATCATTTAACTCCATGTATCATCACGATTCTGCAACACCGAGCTTCGAGCGGTTCCGCGGAAGCTCGACCAACCATCTCCGCGGAAGCAGGTCGCATTTATCCCAGCTTCGGATCGCGGCGCGGCGGCACGCTGTTGGACGCCCGCTGGCGGCAAGAGGGGCGTGGGAGCGTGGGTGAGGCGGCAAATGGACAAGTGCCATATCAGAAGCAACTGTGTGTGTTCGTGGGATATATGATATAAAGTTGATTGATGGTAAGAGGGGTGGACACTCTGGGAACTCTTTGTTGACAAGGCATGACATGCGCCCAGTTGGTCAAGTGGTACACTGAAATTCTGCCTGACGGATGAGTTGTGGCCTTTGGCAACCTCAGCTTAAGGTCCATGTGCCACGGGAGGAGATCACAAACTTGGAGCTGTCGCAGGCGATGGATGACATGGATGATGTGATTTCAGGATGCAAGTTAAAGTTTTTCTCGCCAGTTCCATGGAGTTGGGTGCCGGAGAAGCATCATGGTTTTGTGTCGGATGCAATTGGGTGTATTCTTTTGCTGCTGTTCGTAGATAGCAGCTTAGTACACGAGGCTTGCTTCCATTCCACGTGAATGCGCCAATCTTCATGGCACTTTTCGGTTAATTAGAGGGCTACCAATTGCACTTTTCGTATCTTGAGTCATCCATCTCATGGTGCAGAAGTGCTGAAAGGCAGGAAGAAGGACCGTCCACCACTGTCAACCAGTAAGCGCGCCGCCAGCCACGGCCACACCAGCCAGGGCCAACCTCGTTCTTCGGGTCGTAACTCGTTGCCTTCCACGTCGCAGGTGGTGAGCTGTTGCTTCGGTGGGCCGCCGGCCACCATCGTGCCAGCGACACGGATCTCTGATGAGTGGGGGCCACCTGGACCGGTCGGGTCGAGGTTCGGGGAACGGAACTCGAGTCCGCCCCCCCTTGGTGTTCACAGAGGGAAAAAGACCAAGCTGGGAGGCAAGGATGTTTTTGTCGGTTTTCTCCAAAAGAACCCCATCTAAAAACTTCCCAACACCTGGAACGCCGAGTGGACTCGGCCAGGACGACCGAACAGAACTGCAAATCCTGATCCCGCTAGGATGTTCTAGTACAAAAACTAAACGTACTTCTACATGCGTACTCGGCCCCCATTGGCAAGCTGCAAGCTTGCCTTAATTGAGTTGTCTCATGTTTTTCTCATGTTTTCTCCATGCAGGAGTTCAATGGCCGAGCTTTTTAGACTTTGTGAGTGATTCACTGGGCTGTCCCATCTGACCCCGTTTCTCCACAGCATGGTCGCACAACTCCGAACATGCCATCGTTTTCGAACAGGCTCTACCAATGTCGAACACCACCTTGGCCACAAAGCCCTGCTCAAGTGAGTATTGGCGTGGCGCAGGCTCGTCCTGGGACTGGGACATCCCACCGACCCGGACCCCCGCTTGTGCGGGCGGGACCCGGCAGAGGGGCCGAAATCGTGGTTTACTGAACCTGGGTCTCCAGGGAGGAAAGGATGTGCAGACCGTCTTCCAGAGACAGTGAATCAGTGATGACACAGAAAAAGAAGATCGATCATGTGGAAAAACGGGAGTGGCTCGTGGTGCGATGCAGAAACTTCTATCCTCTCCAGGCAGATGGCCGCTGCCAAAGTCCTCCCTATGCCAAGTTCGACTACACCGAGCCACTGCCCCAGCTGCATGTAGCCATGTATCATCTTTCCGAATCCGAGAGAAAAAGAAAGCCGACGACACAACCAGCAGACTCTGACCACTGCATGACGACCATCCTTGGGCCGAGCTCGTGTCCAGGTCGTGGAAGATCATGCGGGTCTTTCCGGTGGAGTTTGATGAGAAGCAACAGGCTGAAGGCACAGCAGGGCGGCTAAGAGTGCGAAGGGTATTGCTCAAGCTGAGATGAGATATGAGAACCTTCTCCAGTCGAGTGCCTTGTTGGGCAACTTTACAAGAACCAAAAGATCATCCACTCCTAGCTTTACTTTTAATAATTGGATCTCAAGCTGTTACACACTTTGAGAATTCGGCCTTTCCATCAGAACCCAACGTCCTCCAGGCTTTCGGCTGTTCATCTCGGGCGAGAACTTCCTCCCGTCCTCCACGGCCATGTGCCGCCTGGGCGGCCGCATCCTGGGACCCGCCGAGGCGGCCAAAGCCTGGCACAGACGGAGCGACGGTTGGGACGGTTGGGACGGTGGGCGGTTGGGTGAGGAGAGCGATTTCGCGACGTTGAGCGAATGAAGAAGACATGAACAGCGTGCAGATCGCAGGTCTGTGGTTTTCATGTTTGTATGAATGCTTGCGATTTGCCAAAGCTAGCCAGGAAAAGTACACCCTGGACCCCGCGGTGAGGAACCAGATGGAACCAGTCTCACCATCGCACGAAAAAAATGATCTCCAAGCAACCGAAACAACCGCAACACTCGACTGCTGTGGTTCGATCCACCCTGCAACCAATTCTACAGACTTGCTACTGGTAACACCCTCCACCCTGGGTGGGCAGTGGAACGCTGCCTGGTCTCAGTTCACCTCAGTTCGGAACCTCCTTGCGGTTGGCACCGGTCACATCCAAAAAGAAGATGTTCTTGGTGTCTGAAAGAAGACTTGTCTTCCAGCAGGCCATGTAGAGGAAGAGCGTCTTCCAAAGATTTCATGTGACCTTCCTCACCGGGGCAGGGCCACTGACTGACCCGGAGCAGGGTCCGGGTTGGGTCGGAGCCAGGCGGGCAGGGAATCAGCGAAAATGGAGCCAGGTGATTGGCACGAACTACACCCTCCTTTGCCATGTCCCTCCCACCGGCTTTCACTTGGCCGGCGCCCCGAGAGAGAGAGAGAGAGAGCGTGAGCGATGGCCTCCAGCCTACTGCAAAAAGTATAAAAGCAGTTGCACCATGGAATTCGGAGATTGCGGGAGCTGTGAGACCCTTCTGTTCTGGAGAAAATCATCGGGTGCACGGTGCAGCGGCGGGAACATGGACATTCCAGAAAACCGCCAGAAACCTCTCGCATTTGCTGCAGCGCACTTAGAGCCAAAAGTTTTCAGACTAGTTCTCTGAGGAAGCTTCACCGCAAGGCATCACTTATGAAGTTGAGGTCGCAGCGAAAACGCGGCAGTTTTGAAAAAAAACAAAACGCTCGTATTTTGCCGCAGTGTCCAAGTGCCGCTGGAGTTCCCCCGGTCTTGAGATGGTCTCGAGCCTTTGCGATTTGACACTCGTCTTCCACATCCCAAATGCAATGTGCAGGTGTTGTTTTTTTACTGGTCCCTGGAAGTCTAGCAAGTTTCTCAGATTTCTCAGACTGAAGCTTTTCTCTTCAGAGGGTGGTGACCTTCGATGGTGCTTAGCATGGGAAGCTCTCTTAGCGTTTTTGCTTGCGATCTTTAGTGGACTTCCAATTCAAAAGAGTTGGACAGGGTGGATTGCACCAATACCTTCAGTTCGTGACCTCTTTGGAGTCTTGAGTCTCGAGCGGCCAAGTGACCGAGGGTCTATTCCGTGACCGACCCGCCGAGGTCTCAAGTTCGGTCGAAGGTCCTGGCAGATGCAATTTTGTTTGTCCACTTAATCTCCACACTCCATCATGACTTAGTCTACCTTCCTATCCTTCCTGAGGTCGCTGTCCTGAAATGAGTGCAACTGAGGAACATGAAGTGTGGCCATCCCAGATTGCAATCTTGGATACATATCAACAAGAAGGTCCTAGGAGAGCTGTGCTGAATTTCTCGACACTTTCGACACGAAGGATTTACACCTCAGGGCTCACAGCAAATCACCGTCAAACAATAAAGATGATCTCAGATTTAGCAGAAATCATCTCTACCAAACCCTGATCAAACCATGAGACCTTTGGTCTTTCTTTGCTGCCAAAAACGAGAAGCGGAACCCGATCTCCCGCCCTCCGCCTCCACCTCGCTGCTCGCTCGCTGGCCAAGCTCGTCCGCCAGGTGGCCATCAACGGTCAGGACTTCGTCGGCGCCACCCCACCGGCCCGGGCGCTCAAGGGCGGTTTGGGAGATGGCCAAGCGGAGGAGGGGTTCTGCAGGAGGAGGACATCGGTGGCCAGGCACAGTGGGTTCCAAAAAGAGGGTTTTTCATGGTTCTTCTCCCTATAGGTCCATGATCATAGCACGGTAGGTCTGTGCGGTTCCACCCGCAAGGCCCTAAAAGGACGCAGCGGCCCTCATCTTCCCAGGTCTTGGTACGCTTCGTCACGGCCACCTTGGTCGTGACCGTCCGGGCACCCACCTGCGGGCGTGGGAGCCACGACGGAGCCTCGAATCCTTCAAGTAGCGATGCCCTTTGCTACTATAGTAGCTTCTTGCTCCTAGGTAACAAGGCCAGGAGCCCCGAACGTAGCGTCCTTGCTCCTAGTAGCGATGCCCTTATAGTAGCTTCTAGGAGCTACGTTCGGTTCGCGTCCAATTACATATACTTTGCATGTTTTGATGGTTTCATGGAATTTCCAGCGAGTTGGAGAGATTTTGGGAGATGCAGCGGAAAGGTGAAAGGGACATCAACAGTCTCTATCAGTGAAGTTTTTCGAATGATCCGCAGGCGCCTTGGGTCGAGTAAAAGCGAGTTTGGCACCGGAGCCTGTGTGAGGCATCCCGCCATAGGCGACGCTTCTTCGTCGCTGTCGCGTTGGCTGCTGGCCGTTGAATCGGCCAGGTCCCTGATCTAGGACCTTTGGAGCTGATCTTCGAGGAGAAGACTGCAGGAGGCTAGACCTCCCACTGGGCCTCTTGGGCCTTGGACAACCCTTTTTTCCAGGACTACCTGGAGGAGCTCTTCACCCGTGGCTTCCTGGACCACGACCTCGAGCTCTTCCGCACGAGCCCGCTACTGCGCAGCTTCGCTGATCGCTTGCGCCCCATCATCGAGATCTCCGACCTTGGCGACTATTTGATCACCAAGATCGCGAGCTACCTCATCACGATGATGAATCCTCCATCGACTACCGGCGGATCCATTCCTCTTCAGGAATATCGACGAGATGTTCCACCAGGCTGGCAACCAGGAGACCCCTCCTATCCACTGAGGAGCTACTTCGAGAAGATGCGGCTTTGGTACCGCGTGAGCAACGTGGAAGATGAGAGCGTGGGGCCACTCCTGGCCGGTCGGCTCTATGGCCGAGCTGCAAAGGTCGCCATGACCTTGAAGATCCCACGGCCGGATGGCCGATTTGACACTGGGGATGCGGCCCTGGCACGCCTCTCGGTCGATGAGGTGCTGGATCCTACAACTGGAGCGGTGATTCAGCAAGCGATTCCATCGGGGGTACAGTTTTTGGTGGATGCTCTGCGACGAGCTTTTGGACAACAAGATCAAGATCTTGCAACAGAAGCGCTGGAGAAGTTTTTCAGTTTACAGCGCGGCAAGTTGTCCCTGGCTGAGTATGCCGTGGAGTTTGACACCAGACTGGATGAAGCCTCCGATCGAGCAGGACTGCAGTTGAACGATGTCGGAAAGTTCTTTTTGTGGTTCAAGCATAGCGGCATGTCCACCAAGGTGATCGACGACATCAAGCTACAAGTTGGTGGAGACTACAACAGGTTCCAGGATGCAAGAACATTGGCTCTCCGGATGATGAGTCCAAACAGATCCGACAGAGATGATACAACCATCTTCTACGAGGACAACCTTGAAGAGAGCTACAATGACAACTACGGCTATGATGACTCCTGGAATCAAGATCAGTGGCATGGCTATGAAGCAACAGAAGAAGGTGAATGGGTCTATGAGACTGACGACACCTACTATCAAGACTGGTCAGAAGAGGCAGATGAGTGGCAGAATTTCTATGAGGATGAGACACCATGGAACTATGAGGAGCCATGGACATCTTCATATGAGGCAGAGACACAACCGACCACTTCAGGAGCAGCACAGACAGAAGAGACCTTCGCCGATCAGGAGACCTACTACAAGGGCAAAGGAAAGAGCAAGGACGGTTGCTTCAACTGCGGAAGCAAATGGCATCAAGTTCGCGATTGCCCCATGAAGTCAGAGAAAGGCAAAGGTCATGCCTATCAGAGCAAGGGCAAGTTCGGCGGCAAAGGCAAGGGCTTCCGTGGACGCTGGACGTGGCGACCATCTTCATGGAAAGGAAAAGGCAAAGGCAAGTTCGGCTATCGCGGTGGCTCCAAAGGTGGCTTCAAAGGCAAGAGCAAGAAAGGACACTGGTTCATGACTGAGACCTCTGGTCCGACAAGTGAGCGCACTCTCAATGTCCAGGACGGCAACATCCAAGTTCTGGGCACCACAGATCGGATCGATCGGAGCCACACGCCAGAAGCCTTCATCATCCACTCCTCCTCAGAAGATGACATCATGAAGGTTCGACGAGCCTATGCTGCCACATCAGCGAATGAGGCGACCTCCAGTGAAGAGCCTGCAACAGCACAGAAACAGCCCAAGAACTTTGACACGACAACATGGAACTTCATGTTTCTGGCTGGTGAAGCATGCTCGTACTTCCAGGTTCGCGGACAAGAGCGAAAAGGTCTTCTGATTGATCCTGGTGCCGCAAGCGGCCTTATTGGCAGTGAGACATTGCGCATGTTGCTGAAGGAGTGTGTAGTGGACACCCCACAATTTGAGTTCGACAAGACGACACCTGTCTCTGGCATCAGCGGAACTTCATCATCAACGCTTGGACAGGTGACTGTACCTCTTCGAGTTGGCAGCATGCCTATCACGTACACTGCTGAGGTTCTTGGCGGCGATGGATCTTTATGTCCCGCACTGGTCGGAAATCCCACACTTCGGAAGCTCAATGCCACCATCTTTGCCAATTGGTTTGACAATGGTGATGGCTTGATGACCATGGATGGACGACAAGATGAAGGTACCGTGGCCATCAAATTCTTCCGACTTTTGCTCACCGAAAGTGGACACTACATCCTGCCAACAGACAACAAGGAAAGCCAGAAGGTTCACTACATGGATAAGAACAAGGCCATCCTCTTCAGTCAGAAAGTTGCACTGGCGTCGGAGGAACATTAATGGAATGACCTCCATCCTCGAGTTCGCCATTGTTTCCTTGGCAGGACACTTCCACAGGCACGGGCAGAAGGTGACCGGTGTGAAAACATGGCATTGCATTCCAATGTCATTCCTGATGACAAGATGATGACCGCACATCATGCAGCACAAGAATTACCAGGTCAACGACCATCGAATGACAATGAGCAGAAGCAGACAAACCTTCCTGATGCAGTACAACATCCACATGATGCAGTACAACATACGGCGCAAGCCTTGCGAGAAGAGAGCGACCAGATCAACGAGAGCCATGACCACACTGCTGATGGGCACTCCATTTTGGATAGTCAGACCCAGACAGCAGAGAAGAAGCAGTTTCACAGTTGCACGACAATTCATGAAGAAGCAGAAGATGATGGTGAAAATCCCAAGCCTGCGAATTTCACTCCATCGGCCATTTTGGCCAGTGAACAAGAATCAAGTGATCGCTATGTCCATGATGTTCTTCCAGCAGAACACGATCATCTTGATGTCTCCAAGTTGAACAAAAGATACAAGGCCATTCCTGAGGAGTACTACACCAGATCCGGACTCACACCTGTGACTCCAGGAAACTTCAAGAGCTGGTTCTCCAAGACACGTGGACGTGGTCTTCGGTGGCACGCATGGGAGCTTTGTTCAGGCTCTGGAAGACTCAGCCTGTGTTTGCTCATGGCAGGTCTTGTTGTGGGCTTTCCGGTTGACTATCGCTACGGCTGGGACATCAACAATGCCCAACATCAGAGCTACCTCAACCAGGCCTACCACGAGTTCAAGCCAGGTGTGGTGCATGCAGCGCCTGACTGTGCACCATGGAGCGTGTCCGCCAACACCAAGGATCCACGACTCCGGCATCAAGACCGACTTCGTGATCGTCCCGGACTTCAATGGTTGCAAGAAATCTTTGAGAAGCAAGATCGACAAGCCAGAGGCTACAATCTCGAACAGCCTCACAACAGCGCCATGTGGCAAGAACATCTACCAGAGAATCCGGTGCGGCTGTCCCGCATCAAAGGCAACCGCAGCAAGCAAAGAGTTGATCAATGCATGCATGGAGCTTGTGATGAATGTCAGAATCCCATCAAAAAGTCAACAA